CCCCCCTCAAGGTTGCCATCTTTAACGGCCTGAACTCCCCCCTCAATGGTCGCTGCCCGACGCGGCCTCACAGCAACCGTGGTTCGGAACCCGTGCCCGTCAACCGTCGTCGCTCAGTAAGCACCTGCCGATGAAGCCATGCCCTCTGCTGGACCCATGACAGTTGCCTCGATCATGGGATGCTTCCATTCATCCCAGTGGCGATGCCAGGTCTTTGTCCGAACCATGGCCTTGCAGCCATAGGGGATCAGCCTTGGTAGGTTCAGCCCAAATGCTCTCAGCTGTCCTCGATGCCTCTCCTCTGCTGCGTGCCTTAGTGCTGTCGGCCAGTCACGAACAGGTAGTCCAGCAGACTGTAAGAGCGCCCTGGCAGCATTCTTCAACACGCCAACCTCAATCTCCGCCCTCGAGTTTCCAGTTGGCTCATCACCTGCAGTGAAGCAGTGCTCCAGATCTCTGGCCGTAGTCCACTCCCGGAACCGCTTCGACACGAACTCCTTGGCCCTGTCTGTCTTGATGCGGAACACCGGGACTTGAAGTGCACGGTACCTTGCAAACAACTTTGACGTTGCAGCGATCACCGTTGCCTCCTTTCGATTCAGCAGAGGTGCTGCCAACGTGAGGTGCTTCACTCCCACATCCTTGAGTTCAGCGATCTGCCGCTCGAATGATGCTAGTTTCACCTCCTCCTCACATACCACTGCCTCTTCTCCATCTCCCTTAAATGGATTTGGGCCCTGGCCTTCCGGCAGAATCTCTTGCCGGTCTTGTAGTACATGTTCAGCACCTTCCTCAACGTCCTCCACCGAATCATCTGGCTTCCAACCCCAGATCAGCGGCTGATATATCATGACGGACAGGTACTGTCACTGTAGCCACCAGGAAATACCGTGGTTGGCCCATGTCTTGATCACACCCCGGTGCAAAAGGCCCAGCCACGTCCACTGCCATCGTAAATGGACTTGGAAACTGCTGCCGGAGCCGTGGGCGATCTCTCCCAGCACCACGAAGGCACTCTCGACAGTCTCTTCGATGTGGCACATGCCCATTCAAGATGTGCTGATACCATGCCCAATTGGTGTCCCCCCGAACGGTTTTCACTCTGGGTTGGTCTCCAGCCCTTGCTCTCTGCCAGGAGTCCACCACTGCCTGCTTCAAGCCCCCAGCCCATGCAGCCAGACTCTTTGACTCCAGTAGTGCTTGATCCAGATGCGTCGGCCACGTAGTCGACGATCTGCTGTCCCTCAGCCCATCCAATTGAACCACCTCAGGTATGGATGACCATAGGCACGTTGGCTTCTTTCTTGCGTGGTCCAGCGCTCCTTGGTCCACTGAGATCCTCCTCAACTTCAAGTCCTTCTCCAGCACCTGCACCACCTCTGGCCACACTGTGAACGTCGGGATATTTTCCCCTTCGCGATAGGTTGCTGGATCCTCTGGCGTCTCCACCATGAACTCAGTCTCCCCCGGATTCGCTGACTCACACAACTCTGCCAACACCAGCGTCCTCAGCAGCAATTGGCTGTCTGTGTCCACCAAGGCCCGCTCATGCGGCTTCAAATCTCTTTTTCCCCACCTTTCAGGGCCTTCGCGGTCCCGTACTTGTCGAGGTCCACCGTCATCTCGAAGCCGAAGTACAGAGACTGATCTGCACGGTGGCCCTGCCAGGAATGTCTTCACTTTTCCCGACCTTGCCACATCCATCAAATATGCCTGGAGTCGTTCAACAGGTCCTGGTTCTGGAGGATGTTGATGCAGTCGACATTGGCCAGGTCGCCAGTCGATGACCCCGCCCTGTGCCACTAGTTCTCCAAGTGGTATTATCGGCGCCACGTCGCTGTCATTGGTCAAAAGGACCCCACTCTCAGTCTGGCGCAGGATGCACTCACCAGTTGCCGTTTGCGCAACTGTCTCCCCTGCTCTCTGCCATTCTTCCTGAGACACTGGTGCACGTAGGATGTGCGTAGCTCCTGAATCCAGCAGCACTCCACACCCCTCATAGGTGACCTTTGCGATGATCGCCCTGATCGCCGGCTGTGGTGCCCTCAACGACCTCAGAAGTGATGTTACCTCACCAATCAACTCACTTGGCGAAGCCTACTTTCCTCCATCACCTACTGCAGGAGGCTTCTCACTCGCCGCCGAAGCTGACCTTGTTGCCATCGTCGATGTCTCCGCATTTTCAACGGCTTGTGAGTTCCCACTCCCCCCACCAGCAGCATCACTAGCTGGTGTAGTGCTGGAAGCCGTAGTTGCAGCCGACGAGGTCGTCTTGTTGAGCTGAGGCTTACCCTTACCGGTTGCCTTGCCCTTTCCCTTACTGTTGGTGTAGTCCTTGCCCTCCTTGATGTCCTTGCCCTTGTTCTCGGCTTTTTCAGGTGACTTGGTCTTGTCTCCTGCAGGACACTCATGTTTTTGATGGCCCAACGACGAGCAAATCCAACAGCGATCATTCTTGTCCTGAACCCCCGTCCAGTCATGTGCAAACCTGCACGATGCTCCGCGTGCACACCCTGTAGAAGTGCACCAGTTTCTGCGCGCCACCTTGGTCACAGGTTTGTCAGAGTTTTGCTGGAGTTGCTCCACCTTTACCTCCGGTGTGTCTTTGCGATCACCTGCCAATGCGGCCGTAGTTAGCTCCGCCTGCAGCAGTTGAGCGAATCTTGTCACCACGCTCTGTTGTGTTGTAGTGTCCAAGTTGTTCGAGTGCCTCCAGGATTGCACTCTGAAGTTGATCTGCGGCTCCTTGTTCAGAATCTGCCGACATATTGAATCCAGCGCTCCAATCTGCAACACTGGGTCCGGCAAAGTGACTCCCAACTCCACCGCCCTTGCCACATTTCGTGACCACAAGCGCAGCTTTTCTACTCCATCTGCTGGGGATGTTGCCGTCTCCGGAGCTGTCAATGCTCGCAGGAGCCCTGATTTCTCGCCAAGACCTCCTGGTTGGAACCGCTTCATGACCTCCAGCATGATGGATGCCGCTGTCAACTTCCTGTTCGCGATGACGTCCGACTTGATCGAGGTCGGCAATGCTGCCAGCAGCACGCTTGTCACCCGTCCTTCAAGTCTCTTCACCTGCGCATCCACTTCCAGCCGAGTCAGTGCATCTGATGACAGCCACACCTTGTAGACTGCATTCACCTCAACCATGAGCTGTATCCACCAGCGAGCTGCTCCACCAGACACATCTCCTATCAACGGCTCAATCTCTGTGATCCAATCCCCACATCGAAGTGCCGCCTGAGGTGCGCTTTCATCCGGGAGTTTCGGCAGGGTCACATTGATAGCCCTCAAATCATCCTTCATTTCCTCCTTCACGAGGACCTCTGGGTTGTTCGCCCCCCAGTCAAAGTTGGCTTTCCCACCCTCCGGTTTCTTCTCCTCAGTCCGAACAGGTGGAGGTGGAGGAATGTAGTCCTGGCTTGCCTGCTGCGCATCCGACTGCATCCATAGTCCATCTGCCTGCTGCCACGCCGGGGCTCCATATCCTCCACTGTTAGTCTCATGGGTTTTCACCCTACTCTTCAACTCATGCAGTTCTCGCTCCAACCATTGTAGGCGAGCCGCTTGAAATCGACCAGGACCATCATGTGGCACCCATGCACCATGAAGCCCAGTTCGCCTGTCCTGCTCTGCCTCCATCATTCGAGATGCAGAGCCAAAGCCATCGCGTCCTTCATCTTCACATAGTTCATGCCATCGGGGATGAACCCCGCGGTCAGGACCTCCCTGTCGGCGCCCCCCGCCCCCACACTCTTCACGATGTAGGCTGCCAGTTGCGCCCAACATTACATGGGCCTCTCATGTACTTCACGACCTCGTTCTTGTCGTTCACGCTGTCGGCGTTCCCAACTTGACCATTCCTCCGCCGAGCAGCCATGCTCAAACTTCGACCATGGCCAAGGTGGAACTTCCGGTAGTTCACCCCGTAGTTCTTCCGATGTCTGCGGTGGTGTCCCTGGAGGGACCTGTGTACCCCCTGGAGTTCTTCTCACCTGCAGAGGTTGTTCCATCGGAGTGAACATTGCCGTCGTTGGTGTCCTTGGGGTAGGAGTCTGACCTCGGTGGTTCTGACCTTGTGCGATCTTCTCGTTCAAGGCCCTCACCTCATTCCGAAGCTCCTCATTCTGTCTCCGAAGCTCTTCAACCGCCTGAAGTTCCATCGCACGCTGGAGATCATCATCTCGGCCCAGGCGATCTTGCTGACCTTTACCCTGATCGAGCCGTTGGTGTTCTCCCAGCTGTTGACCTGGTACTCCATAATCTCCTTGTCGTTCAGCCGAATCACGTTGTCCTATTCCTTGATCAAGCCGCTGATGCTTTTCCGGCTGCTGACCTGGAACTTGACGGTCCCCACGCGGCCTCCTTTCTCTCAACCGCCATGCCATTGCTTTATCTTCCCCTTCCGAACCACAGGTCTCCTCATCCAGCTCGTCGGTGGCATTGGAGGACCAGCCGAGCCCCGTGCGCCCAAGTCACTCGTGATCTCAGGCCAGCCTGGTTGGATGTTCAAGGCTTTCTGGAGCTCCTCTTGAGGATCTCTCCAAAGTTCTTGTGGGCCTTCATCCTGTTCTTCACCAGCACTGATTGCACGGCCGCCATCTTCGACCGACTCCTCTCCCAGGTTCTCCTGGTCCACATCCAAGCTCAGTAAGTCCAGCAGATCATGAGCATCCGGGATCATCTCCTCCGACTCCCCACTCCGCTCACACCTGAGTCCCCTTCAGGCACCATCGGAAGGTCTTCCGGCCGCGCTTGCTGGAGCTCGAACTTGTCTTGCAGCTCCCTTGACCAGAAGGCGGCCAACAACCAGGCCACACACGTTGTGGTCCTGGGTGGACTTAAAAAAGCGTTGGGCTCATAACCTCAAAACCCATGCGAAGTTGCGCACCTTTTCTCTTGGGCATAAAAAGGGCCCTCGGTAAGGCCGTCGACGTGGTTTCACATCTAGTTCATCTTTACAAAATGTGAGTGATCTTGCAAGAAGAATTCACGAGGCCACATTTGCTGGCGACGTTCCAGACTCAGATGCAGGCATGGAAACAGCAAGTATACTGCCCAACGGCCCAATGTGTATGGTGTACAATGCTCAACATCTAAATCAAATGCTTGCAGATTGCAGGACTGGCAGATCAATGCGACAGGCAGCAACAATCCTCCTGAGAAAAGAAGCAGCGCTGATTTTGACAAAGGCACAGCCAGTTTTGCCGCCTAGCCAACATGGAGTGCTTGCCTGAGCGCCACTGATAGAATCAATCGTACATTTGGTTCTAGTTTCGAAGTTCCCTGTGTTTTTGTTGTGACTATCAAAGCAATTGCTCAGTGTTCATGATTGTAGGTCAAACAAGGCACAACTCCTTTATATTTATATTAGAACGTGAGCATGCTGTGTCAATGCACTTTTGGCATAAATTTCATTATACAAAGGTTGGCTTTAGGAGGTCACAGGCATCGCGGGGCCACCCGAAGCAACTGGTAAAGTGCCGACTGACGTTGCCATTGTCTCAGTTGAGGCCAAAGGCGTTCAGCAAATGGTGATGCCCAAGGTGCCTGCCGAGTTGCCAGCAGACATCTTAGCCCGCGCAAAAAGGCAATAGGCTATCGGTTATGTTTTCATGTGTGCCAATCGTAAAGATGACATAGATACTAACACTATATAGTAGCAACAAAAGGATATTTGATGTGAGTGTAACTCTGTAACGTGCCTTTTGTGCGCAACCCCAGGAAGGCACCAGTGGCGACATGGCAGAACAGATAATGCTACCTCCATTGCAGGTGCGCAACTGGACCATTTTGCGGGCAGTTGTGCCTAAGATGGTTTGGAGTGCTTCCTCATTGACGTCAGTGTTAGGGGATCAGTTGATTCAGAAATATGTTTTGTCTACAGCAAAAATAACAAGGGAAACCGTGTTCTTTGTGAGCAACGCGGCATATTTGGAGGATTGAAGAAGCTCACCCGTTCGGATTACAGACTGGCAGGGTTTTGCTGCTAATCGAAGCAGTAGTTCCCCGTCATCGCTGCAAAGGCACAGTGCGCAGAGGAGGCCAAAAGCGGAACAAAAGCCACCCAGCGAACAAAAACACCCAAAGCAGAAGGACGGGACATGCGGAACACTAACACCGCAGTCGCCTCAGCTGTGGCGAGGCCTGCAAAGCATTGGGTTGTTTCTGCAGGTGCACAAAACCAAGAAGTGTACCAAGTGTTTCAGGTTCAGTGCGCACGAGAAGTGTACCAAGTTTGTTGAGAGGTGGTGCACAAATCGAAAGTGTACTAAGTTTGAAACCAACTCAACCGAAGCCCTTTTTTGCGCAGGAAAAGGTCCGTCAGCGGACACGCGGGTTATGAGCCCAAAGCCCCTGTTTGGCTTTCCGGAAGTCCACCGGTGATCGCTGTGTGAGCGACACCCTCGTTGGTCCCCATGCTGGCGGGTCGCGGTGGTTCGGCGAGTAGTCGCGAGGGGAGTGGCAGCGGTGGGGGCATGCAGAGCGCGGAAGAAGAAGCTGAGCAGCTGGCCCTAGAAGATGCGAAGGATGCAGTAGCGCTGAGGGCACCAGCGTCAGCCTCAGGGCCTCCGGTGTCGTATGGACCGACGAGGAGGGCAGGAAAAGATGGAAAGGGCCAGGGTGGGAACCAACCGGTTGCGCAGGTGAACCCATTCTGGTCGGAGCGGACGCAGAGTGAGGCACTTCTGAGAGCGATGAGGCCGGCATCACTGGGACCCACGGAGGAGACTGGTGCGGCTAGCCGGGTGGAGCCTGATGATGGCGGGCAGGGGACCTTCGTGGACGCGCAGAGGTGCTCAGGGCAGTTCTCACTCAGAATGAACCAAGGAAGAGACCGGGCATGGAGCATTAAATGTCTTCAGATCGAGACCGAGTACGAGGACGTTGACTGGGGGGAGCTCCAACATCGAGGTGCGCGACTGTTGTCGCAGGAGCTCAGTCTGCTCGAGGAGGACACCGGGGAGATCGTTAATGAGAGCTTCTTAAAGGCCCTCACCGTCGAGGTTGAAACGGTCACTGAGGAAGCCGTGAAGGCTGGCCAGTGTGAAGAAGCGAAGAAGGTCGCGGAGATCGAGAAGGAGATGGAGGAACACCCCGCCTTCTTGCAGACCAGGATGGTTGGACTGGCAGAGGTTCGATTAAACCTAGAAGAGTGGAAGCCATCGATGAAGGAGGAATACGGAGCCCTGGAGTTGAAGGTGAAGCTCCTGTCTCCAAAGGCCATCATCCCGACCAGGGGTTCTGAACAGGCAGCGGGACTGGACCTGTACTCGACCATCGAGACCATGGTACCGCCGGGCGACAGCGTCCTCGTGAAGACAGGGATCGCACTGGAGCTCCCTCGAGGCAGCTATGGACGCATTGCCCCGAGATCATTGCTGGCGATCATGAGTATCGAGACAGCCGGGGTCGTTGACCGTGACTTTAGGGGCGAGGTGAAGGTCCTCCTGAGGAACCACTCCGACTGGTCATTGAGAGGATCCTCGAGCTGGATGTTCAATGTGTGGACGAGCTCACTGAAACAGCGAGGGGGACGAGAGGATTTGGGTATTTTCAGCACGCGAAGAGTTGTATCCATGTGCTGAACCCGATGACCCGCTGTATCAACGACAGGAGCTGGGCACGAATCCGGTTGAGAGGATTTCGATCAGGACACTTCAAGCCCCAGAAGGAAGACCCCGAAATAAGATCCCTACAGAAGAGGTCGGCGCCCAGACTCCTCCAAGGGCAAGTACCAGAGCCGGCGAAGGGGGACTACATCCAGCCGGAAGTGAACTTTCTGGCCAACCTCGGGGACACGACCCTGATCTTTGTCAGCGTGAACCCTACGATTATGAGAGGGAGAAGGAAAGAAGAGAGCGGCGCTGGGATGAAGCCGGCGGCATGGGATCGGATCATGGCACAACGAGGACCTCGACCTGATCATGGAGGGACCTGGGTAGTGATGGATGGTGAAGGAACACGAATTGTTGGGGTTGATCGCGGCAGGTCATCCCAAAATGTGAGCCATTCGAGCAGAGAGCCAGTTTCGTTGGCCTGATTTGGTAGGGCATGGTGCTGACCCTGACCTTGCCAGCAGTAAGGTGGGGATGCTACTGTTCACAGAGGCGCATCTCGAATACAACGCTGGCCTAGTCATCTCCATTGGTAGCACAAACCGCCCTATAGAAGCAACCGCCACGGCAGAGAACCTAGCTGAAGAGCTCGAGGATTACCGCCAACAGCTCCTGGCCATGGCTGCGCCGCCTGAATGTCCAACTGATGCCTCACAAGGTGGGTCCCTTTTCACACCGCTCATTGGTGTTCCCGGGAGATCAACGACTCAGTGCTGATGAACGAGGGCACCTACACGGACAGGAAGAAGATCGAGCACAGAGAGAGGAGGTGTTTGAGGAAGTGATCCGACCCAGAGAGAACACAGCGTTGGGTCTTCAACTGGGAGTTTGGGAGGTCAGCGAGAGAAGCGCGATGGAAGAGTTCCTCCGGCTGCTATCCTTCCAGAGGGAGTTCCTCTCCGGTGACGTGAAGCAGATTGTGAAGAACCCTCCGCATCAGAACACGAGAAAGGATTCGTGGCTGGGGGTGAGGACCAATGGTGAGGGGAAGAGGGTGTGCATCCGAGAGCATCCAAAATCTCGGCACCAGAAGTATGACTTCACTGGAGATCGTCTATGGGAAGAGACTTGGAGCCAGTGGAGATTGACTATCGCCTTGGCATGTGTGGGCCAGAAGAAGATGGTGGTCTGCGACCTGAGAGAGGGAAGGAGATCCACCTTACTACCTGCCATATGGCTGGACGGGGTACACGTTGTTCGTGACCCCTTGAAAAGGGCTTGAGCTAGTGGTGTTTTTGAAGCACCTCAATCCACCAAACTCGGTGGAGGGGGAGTGCTGGTGCACAAAACCAAGAAGTGTACCAAGTGTTTCAGGTTCAGTGCGCACGAGAAGTGTACCAAGTTTGTTGAGAGATGGTGCACAAATCGAAAGTGTACCAAGTTTGAAACCAACTCAACCGAAGCCCTTTTTTGCGCGGGAAAACGTCCGTCAGCGGACACGCGGTTTCCACCTGCCTCAACGCTCTACATCAACAATCAATCTTGTTTAATTTTCTTTTATTCTATTTTGTTTTGCTTCGACAGCAAGGTACTGTCAACTTCACTGGATGTCTCTGTCACAATTCCAAGAGTTATGCAGTTATGCTGTGCTACTAGCTACTAGTTCTCTCAACAACTAGCAGTAACCTGCTACTCCCTTGAATGTATAGCCATGACATCATCTCATTCTGCCGAGTTCCATGATAAGCCTCGATCTGGTTTGCCCTTTCCTTTTTGTCCTTCCTAGTGCAAGGTGCGACAAAATGGTGACTCCAATGGAATCCCACCATTGCCCTCCCTGCCGGATCAAGGGCAGCAGGCAGGTACTAGATGCAAGTGAATTGCAGACAGAAAGCTGACATGTTGGATCGGGAGCTACTATCACCTGGACTAGACGTGGGGGCTTTACAGGTGCAAACCACTCGATCTGCTAGTGATGCCTGTCGAATGTCAATGCGACGCTGTTGCTTTCATGCAGCAAGATTAAACCCCGTTTCAGAAACTACTGTATGTTTCGGAAACTATTCGCGCTTCAGAAACTATATTTCAGAAACTACGCCCGTTTCAGAAACTAATAGAAACTATGTGCGGTTCAGAAACTATGTTTCAGGATTCAGAAGCTACACGCGTTTCAGAAACTATGCGCGGTTCAGAAAAACCACGTTTCAGCAACTATGTGCGTGTTTCAGATTTCAGAAACTACGGTTCAGAAACTATACTATACGATCCATAATTGCGTTTCAGAATAACTATGTTTTAGATTGTTTCACAAACTATGTGTGTTTCAGAAACCAAGCTTCTGAAACTACATGCCTGTCAGAAACCACAAGTGCAACATTACGTGGCTTTCTGTTGTTGGCTTGAAGGGGGGATTGGGGCCAACATGGTGACGTTCTTTGTGATTGAAACATCATGTAACTTCGGCATATTACTTGCAGACACTTGTAGTTCCGACTTTTCCAAACAGTTTCCAAAACATAGGTAGTTTCTGAAACATAGTTTCAGAACCATGGTTGATGAAGCAGCTATTATTGACCATGCAGCAGGGTTTAAGTTAATATAAGCTGGCAGCTATGTTGGCTATGTTGACAGAAATCTCGAATCGCTTGTGGGTAGATAATTGAAGACACTTGCCTCAAGGTCTTACTGTAATCTGCAGAATCCTGCTGCCACTGTCCTAGTGGACAGACGATTGTCGGAAGGCCAGAGGCATCCTCGATGACAATGAAATGCAATCACAGGAAGGTGCAATCTACCAGGCCATTTGTTTTTCTTTTTGGGGGGGGTAGGCGGCTAGGAGGTAGGTTAGCTAGGTAGGTAGCTAGTAGGAGCTAGGGAGTCGCTAGTAGCTACAAGAACGCTACTAAACTCGCGCTAATGATTTGGTTCCTAGATTTTTATGGAAACTTAAGGTTGGAGTCATTCAATACACTGCTTTCAGTTTGTTTTGTGTTTTTCCAGTCATGCGTTTATTTGTAGGAGGTCGTGAGCCAAAGACACGGGAGTTATTCAGCTTGTTTGAGCTTCGGTCCTTGCTTATATATTTTGGATTGTGAAGGTTGTCTTCAAGCTAGCATTCAGAAACTTATATAGCATTTTCCTTGGCCATTAGAAACACCCTGCAAGTTTTTTTCTTAATCGAGTTCATTAAAAGCAATAGCATCATGAACGAACGCTTTTGCCAATCCTTTTGTGTGGCGGCTTCGTCAGCTGATAGAAGTGGGGTGGCTGATGATGTCTTCAAGAACCTTGCCTGGATATGTTTCGATCCTAATAGCCGGGCCCTCGTAGCGTTGTAAGTTGAAAATACTGGGGATTTGAATTGATTTCAACAGAGCCCAAGAATTCAGCAAGATCAACATGGCTGTTCTTAGAATTCGACGGCCCTCAAGGCTTGAGCCTTGGCTGTTCCGCCCAGCCATTCGATAAACCTCCGTGTTCATGTTTAATCAGTGTGCTGTCATATCGAAGTTGTGCGTAAGCAAAACATGCACGCGCGTAAGGTTGCGTAAGCTTTTTGTAAGGAAACCGTTTGCGTAAGCCATGCGTAAGCCATGCGTAAGCTTTGAAGGAAATACAGTATAAATACGTGAGCAACCCCTCTCAGAAGTGCTAGGACTAAGGAACAGTCCAACTCCACACATACATACACAATCCAAACTCGAATTGCTGAACACACACAGTCCAAACACCACAGCTGAACAGTCAAACCTCCATGTCAGACATGAGAAACTCTAGGTGATTTTTGTGAGTTCCGGCGCGTAAGCTCCGCGTAAGCTCCGGTGTCCTTTTCCACCAGTGGCCCACATGCCTCCTTCTCCAAAACCGTTGCGTCAGCGGCAGCGTGTGGTTGAAGACCTCTATATACAATGTGGTTTGCGCGCATCACCCTTCCACTTCCACTTCTCCACTTCCTGCTGCTGCTGCAGGTCTGCTGCTGCTGCCGCTGCTGCAGGTCTGCTGGTCTGCTGCTGCTGCTGCTGGTCTGCTGGTCTGCTGCTGCTGCTGCTGGTCTGCTGGTCTGCTGGTCTGCTGGTCTGCTGCTGCTGGTCTGCTGCTGCTGCTGCTGCTGCCGCCGCTGCTGCTGCTGCCGCCTTCGAGCCTTCTTCTTCGTCCTCATCCTCAAGTGCTTCTTCAGCATCCATATCCGAAGATTAGGTGTAGTAAATGTCCATTGTACAAAGTATGCAGCGCGTAAGCTCGCGTTGTGGTGTCAGCTGCATTTTGTGCAAAACAGGCGTCGCGTAAGGTTTGCGTAAGCCCTTCTTGCTCCAAGTGTACCGCGTAAGCAAACATGTGAGTCGCGTAAGGCAGCGTAAGCACAAGCGTAAGCCCAATGATACGACATCGGATTTCATCAAGGTTTTCAGAAACGCTCAATTTGGAATTTGAACGCCTGTGAAGAATTGGTCTGGTGGGGTGCGCACAACCACATTGTTTGCAAGGTCCTCTTTGTTTGCTCTCTCTGTGCAAAGGGTAGCAGTAGCTTGTTTTGCGAAGTGGCCGGCTCCAAAGCTTGCCTCTCGCGATTTCAGTGATCAAGCATGATGAGGCCAAGCATTCTTGCCTGCCTGCCTGCCTGCCTGCCTGCCTGCCTGCTTTCTAGTTCGGCTTGGTTTGTTTTGATTTTGGGGTTGGTTTGGTTTAGTTTGGCTTGGTTGTTTGTCTACCTGTCTGTTTGTCTGTTTAGTCTGTCTTGTGACTTGTGCGTCTATTCGTATCTCTCTCTCTCTCTTGTTAAACTTCATTTTCCTTATGAGGTTGTTCAATGTACCGGGACGAGGGTTGTCACGAAAGCTAGCACCAGCTAGCTGGAGTTGTCCTTGCTTTAGCAAGTGAGGGGCTGGAATCCTCGAGATCGCGCACGTGAAAACTTCATATGGGGGGGGCCCCCCCCCCCCCGTGGGTTCAACTCCCCCCTGGGACGCCTCTCGGGCACCTCTTATGGCATCCACTTTGGTTTAACTCCTCCGGGATATGGTGCAACAGATTCAACAAGCTCACAGGTTCATGACATCGACATTGATAGAAGAAACCAAGTAAATCATGCAAGCAGCTTTGTTTTGCCTCTGGGACACCTCTTGGGCACCTCTTATGGCATCCACTTTGGTTCAACTCCTCCGTGGAGGTTTTGGGATACGGTGCAACAGATTCAACAAGCTCACAGGTTCGTAAACACATCGGATGCATCGAATAGTGTGGCAAAGTCCAGCCACGCTTCCTTAATTATCGGGGACTTCAATTCTAAAGGTTGGCTGTGTCATTGCTGTTTGTGTGTCTTACATGTTCACAACGTTTTACCTCATGAGCATTTGCCTCAATCCGCTTGATGTCCCACCAGTCCGGATGCACCCCTGCTAGCTTTCGTCACCTACCCTCGGCCTCAAGTCTAACTGCACATAAGTGCACAGTATAGCCAAGCGTTCGAAGGATGTGGCATGATGGGACATAGTGGCAATCAAAGAAGACATAGGACGTGAACAAACGTGAATGGGGTTTTTGGCATGGTCAGGACAATCGAGAGAGTGACCAGGCAGTAGATTATCTGGCAATCAGGCTTGCACACCGACAGAGCAATACATTGTTTTCATGTGTCATTCTAGGATTCTCTGGAATCCGATCAAACCTGTTTTCTTTTTGGTAGGCTTCAATCTCCAGCTGAAATTCGCTGGGCGCTGAGTGTGTAGCTTGGGGTAGAGTCCGGTGAAGCCTAGAGCATGTAAACCAGATCGAATGTGCTTTGCTACGGTGGCCAAGTCTCACCAGGAAACTTGGCCAAAGTCAAAGGAGAAAGCGGCAGAAAGGCTTAGCTTATTATTGTTCATTGGAACTTGCAACCGCCCAAGGGATTTGGCTGATGTGACTTTGCTTGGTTCATGTACAGGCAAATGGACAAGTGTTGCACCCGTATGGCCAGCAACTAGAGAGCGAACGGTGGGCACCAGTGAGCAGAGCTTGGATTGGTAACCTTGAACGTTTTCATTGGCCAATTGTGCTTTCGCCCTTGATGGGCAGCTTGGGCTATTGAGGCCAGACGGTCCGTATTGTGAGCGGATCTTTGGCGAAAGCAAGTCAGAGCCTCCCCAAAAGCCACCACACAGGAGAAAGTTTTTATGGTTGTAAGTTGTGATGCAGGTCCTACAACAGGAGAGAAAAGACCGGCTACATCGAGCTTGCCTGGTCACTCGCTCAGCACATTATGCTTGCACAGACCGAGGCACAGACATATGCAGATAATTTAATCCAAAAAGTGCGGCCTTGTACAACGTAAGCAGTGCTATTTTTGCATACAACATCATACAACAAAAGAGCGAGCCAGCGAACGAACGACTGAACGAAGCGAGTATTGGCCGCCTGACATCACCTGGCATCACTCACTATCACGAAAGCGAGCTCTGAAGGAGGTCCGCTGAAGTCTCATTCACAGATTGTTCTCGTTTAGTGTTCGACCATTTCCACGCAAGTCTCATTAACACTAGCACTGGAGCATTAGAGAGTACAGCATTGAGCATCGCCTGCATTAGTGGTCATTCTCTTACAGCTGGTGGTAGAATGAGCAAAGTATTATCTCGCTTGCGTTCCGGCTTCTCAAGTGATGACGAGTCTCCGCTTCCCTTGCTACACCATTGCAACCTTAAAACTAGCATGAAACCCGGAAACATACTACTTTTATTTACTTTCAAGGAAAAAGGGTGCAGTTGGCATAACTAAAAAATGAGTCGAATTGGACCTCAGAAGTAAACATTAATCAGATTTAAACATGGGGAAGTTGTATACACACGAACAGCAGTTGGAAGGAAGCAGCAGTATCGAATCGCAGGAACTGATACTAAAAAGGATCAGATCCAAGGAATGTACTAGTACCCCCGATCACTTCCAGTACAGTGCTATTGGTGCAGAAGAATCTTGTTCAGTTTTGGCGAGAGGGGGTATGCACTGGCAAGCATGCTTTGGCTTGCCCTGTATATCGATGAAACATGTTGCAAATAGGTGCCGCTCACACACAAAAACACATGCAGAGGAGGTTCTTTTCTTTCTGCAGGGTTGCAGGGGAAGTGCAAGGTTCTTTTCTTTGTGGAACACAGTTGCAGAATATCTATCATTAGTACATTTGGCTTCGCTTTGAAGCGGAGGCCTAGTGGGCATGTGTGGTTCTCTGGAGATGGCGGTGCTGGCAACTTGTGAATGGCTAGTTACATGTCTCGCTTGAAGCACAACCCATTTGCCAGGCAAGCTAGGTAGAGCTGCGCAAATGCTTGGTGCAGCCCCCAGTCTAAAGTTGCTTGTATTGGCTAAAATTCATATTGTGCGTATTGAACAGGCTGAGATTCTTATTGTGCGTATTGAAC